CAGACTTTGAACAGTCCAGCTCACGGTGGCTGCTGCAGGTCAAGGAAGAGATAATGGGGGATCTCACTGACGAGAGCTGACACAGATCTGGCTTCCAGAGTTCCCTCACTCAAACACAAACCCATAAATTCAACATCTCATTTAAAGACCAATGGGAAACAGATGTTTCAGAGTGTGATGTGTGATGTGTGTGGTTGTCAGGCCACAGATAAACCAACAGAAAAAAAGCAGAAGAATTCAGATTTTTGCCTCATTATCTCGTGATTGACTTCTCCATTTTTCGACCGTGTGACTACAGTTCCCACAGTCACCAGAGACGAAAAGTGATTTAAACTCTGGTTCCTCAAAAGTGTAATAAATGTTTTAAGAACACATTGATTTTTTTTAGACCATCACCTTCTATTTCACTGTACTTTTCCTGTATTTTTTTACTGTTACACTAACCATCTTTATGTCCTCTGTCCTTTAATAACCATCTTAATCTCCAACTCTACTCTCAAACTGCTCCACTGTCAACTTGACCTCTGATCTGCTCGTTCATAATTCTCTTCAATCACATGTTTGACTCTGATTCTAGCAGACCGTTTCCTTGTTGCTGCCGCCGACTTTCAATCATGTCCCAAGCTCAGATCCTGAACCCATCAGTCCCTCAGACCACACACACCTCAGTTCTGATATGTCGTATCTGCATGCCACTCCACCCTGATGTACTTTTCTGTACTCCTCTCCTGACTTCCTCATTCAGTACCAAACTTTCTCTCCCGACACCTTATCGCGTCATTTCTCTATTTTCACAAAGACACAACGCAGCAGCACATCTGTTGCCAGCATTTCAAGTTTGGTTTCTGACACCAGCAGGGTTGTGGTGTTCTGATCCACTACAAAAGAACTCTACACACTGCAGCCCAGTGCTGACATGGACAGAGGACAGATGTAGTTGTTGATGTGTGTGTATATGTATAATGACAAAGTCCGACTGTCAGAGTCTCACCTTTCTGGTGCAGACCCTTCTTCTCATACAGGATAATCAGTTCGCTGTACTTGTGAGCCTTCTTCAGCACCTGCTCACTCTCGTCAATGTGGCAGTGGTTGTTCTCCAGACGAAGGAGGGGGGACACCAGCGCCACGTTGGTCTGCAGGGGAGCACACCAGCGCCACGTTGGTCTGCAGGGGGAGCAGAGAAGAGGAGAAAGGAGGAGAGAGGAGGAGAGAGGAGCACAGGGTGAAAAAGAGCAGATAATACATGACTGTCCAGCGTTTTTAACCTGCATCTTTGTATTAGACCTTTTCAACGATCACTTCTGCCTCTTTGCTCTTTGGTGTGTTTTTTATTTTAACAAAAATGATTAAAAGATTCTTGGCAATTAGAAGCCTTCACCATCATCAGAGAGAGGATCGTCAGACACTCTTCTATCTTTTCCATCCTCTATAATCTCTGCCTCGGCCCTGGGGGTGTCACTGATTAAACAGATTCCTCTTTTCCTCTATAAGGAAACTCCTGACAGCATTCCCACTGAACTGAACCATTAACGTGAACTGTTTCAACGTGGTGGAACAGAAAAACCTCGGAGGAACCTCCACCCTGTTCAGCTCTGATCGTTCAGTCCAAAACCATTCTGGAAGCCCCTGCTGTGACTTCATCCAACATTCTAATAACTGATCTTGCTGTTCCCCTTAGGTACGAACGGCTTTGATTTAGCACCAGGAAACTGCAACTGCCTCCATTTGAAGTAAATGACCATTACTTCACTTTTCCAAGCAAATTAAAAATGAAAGAGTAAATATTTGAGAGGCCTCACGTGCAGGTAACACTTCAGCAGCGTGGTATCGATGATCTGCAGCAGCTTTTTGCGGCTCTTTATCGTCGGCGTTCCCTCCATGAGTGGAGATGTTGTCGAACGGTCGGAGTCGTTCAGCTGTTTCACCAAGTGACTGCGTTTCTGTCACCACAAAAAAAAAAAAACTTAAAATATTCGTTCTTGTTCTCATGTTTCATATTTCTGCTGCAGAAGGCCAAATGTGCCTCGACGTCCCCCAGACCTGTGTGAGGTAATCGATCAGAGCCAGGTGAGCCTTCTCCAGCTCCGCCCCCGACAGTGTAGGCAGAGGGTTGGGATAGTGCAGCTGTTTACGGAAGTCTGACGGGAGCAGATCTGGGTAAAGTCCAATCACATGAGTGGGATCTGAACAGAACCAGAGGAAGAAGAGATGAAGACGTTTGGTTTAATGTCTGACCACTGAGGTACTGTAAGACCTGTGAATACTCTCACCCCATTTACTACTGACAGAGAGACATGTGCCCCCTCCCCACATTAGCTGCATGTCCCCCACGGTTGATCACAACCCATGGTTAACAATCTAAGTGTTTGACTCTACCTGTGCCCAGTTTGGCAAACACCTGCATGGAGTCATCAAATTTCTTCTGACAGAAGAGATTGAAGGCGTAAAGACTCTGGATGTCATGAATCTGCCGCTTTTTATCTCCATCTGAGTCATCCTTCATCTTCTGGTGGACGGAAAGACAAAATCCAAACACAACAAAGTCACATTTATCCAGAGTTTTTCTTCTTTTTTACCCAAGAATTTCATAAACCACATGAAATGCCTTTTCTATTTTTTGGAAAAGCGCCTGGAGTCCAGATTGTTGGATAAGAAGAATGAATGATTTTATCTAAACACGTAGATTCACTGTTCCATTCTGCAGCTGAGAGTCGATGTGTCGCTCACCGCCAGCTGAAGCGCCAGCTCAAACTGTTTGTCCTGAAGGAGCTGTTGGATCTGTTTGGCTATGGACACTGGCACCAGGCGCCACACAAAATGGTTGCTGGCAACATACACAATATTTTGCCTGAGAAAGACATGAGGAGTAAATGAGGATTAAATGATATGACATACAAGTCAACGTATCGTAAACACTGTTGCAACATTCTCCCCAGACTGGGATCAATAAACTTATAAATCTAAAAAGGAGACATATTGTGCTACCCAGACTGGGATCAATAAACTTATAAAATATATTCTAGTATAATCTAATCTAAAACTCTTAAAGGAGTCTTTTATTCAATAAATATGGTTTCCTGACGTCTAGATGAGATGTATGGTTAATTTCAGTTGATGTAACAGGAGGAAATTCAGGTTCTTAGTTTTTACAGTGATGGTTTTCTTAGTTCACAGAACTGCAATGTCATCTGTTCTGACTGAATTCTAATCCAGTGTTGATATTAGAAGATCATGGGCTGACATTTATATCACACAGTACTGATACTCTGACTGCAGTTGGACACATCTTCAAACCCTCACCCTGCTGAGCTGATGAAGCGAGGCCTCTGCAGCTCCACACTCTGCACCAACAACCGAGGCTCAAAGGTCCGGATCTCCACGTACCGAGGAAGAACAGCGATGATGTACGGAGGCTGGTGCTCTGGAGAGAGAGAGAGAGAGAGAGGGAGAGAGGGAGAGAGAGAGAGAGAGCAACAACAGTGAACCTCAGAGAGGGAGAAAGAGAGAGAGAGAGTGAACCTTCTATTACAACAGTTGTTCAGTGGTGCAGTAGCAGCGTTCAATTGTCACGGATGTTCACGGTGCCCTCTTGTGGCCATACATCATATGTTGTATATTTTTGATATACAAGTTGCTTCCAAATACTTCTTCCAAATACTAACACTACTAACACTACTACTACTACTACTACTACTACTACTACTACTACTACTACTATTTCACGATAGCCCTTTTAAGATGATATGATGACAAGATCATTTGATAACAGCCAGACTGCTGGTAGGACATGTGAACCATCCGTCTGTTTCTTCCGGCCACTCTCAGTCTGGACACTGACCTGAAGTCAAAACCACAACAGTGTCTCTGTGAAACTGCCTGTGCCATCTTGGAGGTAGCTGCTCTGCAGCTTCTCTCTGAATCTAAATGAGCACAGATGGGCCGGCTTTTTAATAGAATGGGAAAACTCATCTGCATCACGTCTGTGACAGAGCTCATTAGTTACCCACAAATGTGATGTATTACTCATGGGGTAAAGAGATGGGGTTTTTTTCTATTCTGGCCCAAAGGAAACAGCAGCTCAGCTCAGACAGAACGGAAAAAGACATTAGATCAGGGAAGAAATGATTAAGAAAGAAAAAGAAAAAAAAAAGCAGACACTAGTGAGATGAGCGGTGATGGAACAGTCGCGGTGATTGGTTTAGATGTCGTGTTGGTTCAAATTCAACGTTTCATTCAGCTGCTGTCTTCCTGACTTTATAAACGTCACATTAGGACTGGTGATGGATCAGGACATCATGTCTGTGTTAGTTTGTCTCTGACTGAACATGACTGAGGTTTTAATCAATGGAAGGAAAACAACCTGAGGTTACAATCTAATGACAAATGACTACTGGGAAGCTAACATCTGTACAGGTACGGTGTGATGTCATTAAGAGGTTTGAACAAAAAATATCTGGTGAAATTTGAGTGAATTAGACAAATGACTTCATAAAATAAAATAACGACTCAAACGACAATTTAAATCACAATCACCTCAAAATTCCACACAGGATTTGCTGTTGTTTATCTCTTACCCATTGCTATAGGGATGTCTGTCCAGTTGAGGGCGCACTTCTGAGTACAAACGCCTTCTTCATTCAGAACCACAGTGAGGTCATCCTGTCCAACAGCCACCTTCCCATCAGCCAGTGGGGCAACTAGAGGTTCCAGCTGTTTCCCAGTGGGGAACAGTTCTTTAATGGAGCCACGCCCGTCCATCTGGGACACAAGTGTTGGTCACAATTAAACAAATTATTTATTACCTGGATGCTCTCTGACATGATGTTCTAATCCCGGTCCAACAGCCACCTTCCCATCAGCCAGTGGGGCAACTAGAGGTTCCAGCTGTTTCCCAGTGGGGAACAGTTCTTTAATTGAGCCACGCCCGTCCATCTGGGACACAGCAGAGACACAAGTATTGGTCACAATTAAACACATGATTTAATACCTGGATGCTCTCTGACACGATGTTCTAATCCCATCAGATTAGAACAAAACTAATCTTGGAAAAGAAATTGAATACAGAAGTTATTTTCAAAATCAACTTGACCGTGTCCAACACCAGAGGTTCAACACACTTTCACGACCTCTGAAAATATTTCAAGTTATGTCAAATCCCCACCAGAGATATGATGGCCATGGGTTGAGACCACCATCTGTAGATGAATGCCATTGTTTTAAACTTTTGATGGAAACGGCCTTTGCAAAAAAAAAGTCTTAAAAATGTCCCTACAGAAAATAAGACTAAAAATGTTTTTCTTAGGCTTAAAAAGATTTTTTTTTTACATCATTCTACCAAAATACAATTAAAGGAAGTGTCAGACAACGCACCCGAAAAAGGTAATAGTCTCGCTTGAAACCAACACAGATGGAGTTTCCACACCAGGCCATGGACTTTGGAATATCTGGAGCACCAAAGTCACCCTAGCAGACAAAAAGAACACACAAGACAGATAAATTTGTCAAAAGGACTGGAAAAAAACCACAGCATACATGACAGCGTGTTGACTCACACACCTGCAGCTCGTGAAAGTCCCTGTCCTTCCAGTAGTACAGCTGCAGTTTCTTCTTCACTGCCACACACATCCTCAGCGTTTCCTCTCCTGTAGACGTTTGCTGTGGCAGACAGAGAGAATATAAGCTGTACGACCCTCAGAAGTTCTGATTAAATGAGGCGGTAATCTGACTGTTACTACAGACACTACTAAAAAATGTACAAGAAGCTCCTGTGAATCTTGTCTGATCTGACCTTGGACTGACCTCTGAACTACAAACAGAGATTGTGTGAATGTTGATCAAGTGAAAGGCAGTAAACGGTTAAAATAATGCACAGCATGACAGGCTCTTTGTTCGTTGGAGACATCACCAATGACATAAGGTCATCACTGCACTGAAACTGACCTGCAGGTCACATGCAAACAGCGAGGCTCCTCGTGCTTTGGACAGCACAGTGATCTGCTGGAACGTGAGGAGGTCATGGACGTAGATGTTGTTCTCTGTGGGAGCCAATAGCAGACGTTAAATCTCTAGTGTTGTTCCAATTCAATCCATGTTCGCTAACAGGAAACGGAACTCACCCAGAAGGCTGACAAGGATTTTGTACTGAGGGACAACAAAAAGCTACAGAAGAAGAAGAAGAGACACAGTTTGATGAAGCACAAGCTGAACATCTCCACAGTCAGCATTCAGTGTGGTGTGCAAAAGCTCAACCAATCACACGGGGACTTTCACCACAGTTTGTTGGTAAATAAACATCACATGAAACATCTTTGGTATTTTAGGTTGGCACCAGGTCTGGATGTTAACGTTGGTGTGACTCACAGAGGGAGGGGCTTGGTGTGGCAGTGAAGAGGAAGTGTCAGACTAATACTGACAACAGACTGACAGATCTGCAGTGTCACTGGCAACTCTGCTCAGCAGCACAGACACAGCAGACTGCCCTTAGACAAGTTGGCAAAGAAATATAATTTACGTAAAAATAAGGCCTGTCAGAGTTAATGCATAATTAAATATTATTAAAATACAAAATTAAAATTGTGTTGCTCTAATATGCACTGTATATTACACTATTATTTGCACACACTGTGGAATTTTTTTTTTTTTCACTAAAGATGCTTGGAATACCAATTCAACCCTGCCTGTGTTAATGGAGGATAATGAAATACTCATGTCGAAGGAGGGGGTAGGGCTCGTGTGTCAGAGTGAAGGAGGTGAAGCTGAAAAGACGGTGTGTGTTGGGGACACAGGGGGAGGGAGAGGAGAAATAGGTATGAACTTGTGGCCCATGTATTTTAACGCAAAATGAACTATGTAGATATTTTCCCGTGCAATACGGCAATATCGCCCAATCCTAACACGTCCTAAAAGCCGCCATCAAGATCCACGGCAATGACTTAAATCAAGCAAGAATATAAAGCAGAATTTTGAAACTTGTTGTCCTTGACTTTATTCTGTATTCTTAATTCTGTTATTTAATGGAGTCATAGAATGTTGATTTATAACAATAACCATAGTAACACAGAAATCTGCAGCTACGCTGTGATCACTCAGTTTAACACTTCTGACAGTTTGACAGCCTGAGTAAAAATATTAGACCAATGTGTGTTGTTATAACTGAAGCACCTGCTGAATCTTCTTTGAGAAGTTCTTGTTGGACTTCTCCAGTGTCACCTCAAAGTGATGTCTACCTAAGAGGAAAGAGAGAGTTGATAATCAAAAGAATGTTGTCCAATGTTGGGCTGAAATATTAATACATCGTCCAATCAAATACTGTGGCAAGTACTCAAAGTATTTACATATAATGGCATGTTTTACCCTGGTATTTCACCTCATTATTAATTAATTTATTTCCATCACGGCTGTTAATGACTGTTTACTGACAATCTGAGCAATGCAATTTTTATGCAACAAACACTTTAAATATTTATTAATTTTACCTGCATTGTTCAGCAATGCAATTTTTATGCAACAAACACACTTATTAATTTTACCTGCATTGTTTTTGATACGATAAAGAAGAAGATGCCCCGGTTTTGTTCCCACAAGCAGACAGTCCTCTGAAAAACAAATAAAAAACAAACAAAAACCCAGCAGTCAGTCATTTCCAACAATCCGTCTTTTATCAAACGGAAATGTCTTCATTCAGAGCAGTGATCATCAACTGTCCAGTCTGCTCCGGGAATGGATTCCAAACATCTACAACATTATCATGTTAGACAAAAATGTGATTTTTTTAAAAAATTAATTTTATTTAAGTCAAGAAAAGTTCTGGCTCTCAGACAAATATAGTGGGTGACCACTTTACAGCCATAATGATGATCATGATGATGATGATGATGTGCAGTTCTGTTAGGGCTGTTAAAACTTCTTAAATTCATATCAGATACTGATTCCCACTGTCCCTCAGTGGACTGTCCTTGAACTGTCCTTGACTTTGTTTATACGTCGTATGCTTTTGGGTCAGGGTGTTAAAGTTGTACTGTACATCAGGGTACTTTGTACTTTCTCTGTGTTTTATTGTGTATTGTGTGGGGTTTTTATTATCATTGGAGGTTTGGTCAGTTGGTAGTCAAAGACACTTGGTTACTGTATAATCTACCATTAACAAGTCAGAAAACACGTTTCTGTCTAAAGACATACTTTTAAAAGTGCTGATCACACTGAGCATCAGAATAAGACATTTAGGTGATTCATTCTTTAAGACAGATGTCACACTGGCTGGTCTGGATATTTACATGAACTGCTGATTGTGTGAAGGAAACAGAACAGGTAAGGTGTCACGTCAAGAACCTTATTTTCATCCAAACATTCATTGAAAATGGATTCCACACATCTTTGAGATATAACCTGCAGCAACGGCGTCATGCCATCATGTTCAAACGCATCAAACTCTTGCAGGGACGTTTCCAGTACCTACTATACTTAGTACTGTCCTGTATTGTACTGCATTTGTCCAAATTATGTACAATCGTGCAATTGACTCGCTGTTGATCGTGTAACTTGGCGGATTCGAGTAAATAAAAACCTTCATATTTGAACCATCCATAGTCCACCTCAAACAACAGTCATTCTAAAACAACGACAAATACACCTTACCCCAGGCTGCCAGGCAGTCAATCTGAAGAGGAAGTTTCTCCAAGATAGGCACTGGTTCATACGCGTCATGCATGTTGAAGGAGTGATATTTCTGCGGGTCAGCTAACCGACCTTCTGATAGATTAATCCTGCGATGAGTGGACGAGGGTCGGGACAGCAGCTGATTTAGACTCTGTTTGGGGTGGTACACCCAATTGTCGCCATCAAAGACTGAGCAGTTCCGTGTTTCTGCAGCCAAACAGAGGAGGTGGCCTGGTCGATTCCGGCGTCACTGACTGCTTCACTAAAGTGATGTTCGGCGTGTGGGCCAATAATCTCTTCAACCAAAACAACAGCTGACGACACTGTTAGTCCGGTCGGTACCTCACAGGTTAGCAGGCTAGCCGCGGCTAGTGCTAGTAAACACAGTTCCCTCTTACTCCATGATGTTCTGCCTAAGCCAAAAACCGGTTAGGCTGTCGCCAACAACTAACAATAACATTAATACACATTAGACGTGACTGTTAAGAGTCAAAGACACTACTTTCAACTCCCTGAGTTAGCTTCTAGTTTCCTCCCTTGGCTGTGTTGACATCAGCTGCGCGAGCTTTGACAGACACGTGACCCAAAGTCAGCGCTCTCACGAGGATTGTGTTAAAGTGGGTCCACAGTTCTCGCGAGACTTTTCGATATCTGAAACGGCACTTTCAAAAGGTCGTGTGCAAAAACAAGTTCTATTTGTTTTATATTCAGTATCTTACACTAATTATACGTACACAATACATATGTATTCGCGAATGTTCTCTAAAAACATGATTTTTTGTTTCCATTAAATTATTTCGTTACACATCCAAAGTATATAAAGTAAAATAGTTGAACCGTTTTTCAGTATAAACTTTATTTGTAGAATGTTTGCAAAAGGCCACAATATTGCCAGCTTCACATAAAGTTTCAGACTAACATTCCACTATGTGTTTATCTATCTTTAGTAGTAGTATAAATAATTACTACATAAATAATAATTATTATTACTATATAAATAATATAACTAAACTGCTGATAGAAAATTCACCAAAAAGCTCAATTTTGCATACACACACATATAGCAGTAGATAGCACACATATAGGACTATATTTCAGTTTAAGTCCAAAGTAAATATAATTACTTGTGGAAAAGGGAAACATGTTAATTGTACAGTATTTAAAATTAGTCTGCCCTAGTGAATTTAGGTAAGGATGAAAATAAACTTCAGTGAAAGGTGATAGATATGCAAACATACAGTGAGTGTCATACTGTATATACAAACTGTGTAACCAACATTTTTTACATGAAGCTACTTTAAACCTTGGCTATTAAATAGAAAGGAAAAAATATTAAAAAACTGAAACTGTGTACTTTATCGTAGACTCAAGAGGAATAATGATTTCAGGGAATACAGAGCAGGACTGAACTGTTCACTCTGCAAGTGCCACAGATTGGAACTACATTTAAAACTTTGGTCTAAAACATACAACTGTGGTCCAACTATCCTGGTTGTTTCAAAGTTGAGGACCATGAGGACATGTGTTAAAGCATGGTAATTTGTAGGTCATTTTCAACGGGTAGAAACAGAAAGGACTGATTAGTTTTCCAGTGTTTCTGTGAGTTAAATCAGCCAACGGAGCTCCTGCAGGGATGACACACATCTTTGGTTCCATCTAACTGACATGGTTCTGGTCGGAACATCAGTTTGAAATGACAAATGGAAACAGTTATGTAACTGTCTTTAAACACATGTATTCCTCCTTCACAGTGACTCAGTTAATCCCAGTGGTGGCCCCTGAGGATACAGTTCATGTTAGCTATTGTAATATTACAATTGTAATATTATGTGGACAAGTCTGTCCGTCTCTGTAGTACTGCCATCCATCAACCAGTGTTCACTAAGTACTTAGCTAAAATTCATCTAATTAAATATATTAAATATTTTTGCAATGACCCAAAGTCATTAAATCCTTCATACATCCAATAAAATAATAACATTTGAGATGCAATAAAAAATGCTTTTTTTAAATTTATTTTAATATTCTCCCTTTGCTCTCCTGTTAGTGTTAATCCATGAATTCCCGAAAACGGAAGCAGTATTCCTGCTTACAAAAAGAATATATTGTACAGTACTTCCACATGTAGTACAGAAGGAAAAGTGCTGGTTATGTGTTAACACAAAGTCATATACTTTCTACAGGGAACGTCGGTGGCCAAGTAAATGCACAAAACATGCTAATGATTATTTATGTACCTAATGGTTTACAACATATTTTATCTTTCTCTCTTTTTCATCAACTGATGCCATTCAACTGTTAAATAATATGTGAAGCAATAAAACACAGGCTGAAAGAAACACTTTCTCCCACAATGAGTTCAGAGTGTCAGATACAGTGTTGGCTAAAAATAATCTCTTATGAAAGGAGAATGTCCTGGAAGGACGTGGACCTGAACAGATGCAACAATGGTGCAAATATTCCTACACATTAAATCCACTCAGCGTCAGCGTGGCTCCTCGCAGTGACAGAGAAAACATGTTTCAGCTTATAGTAAAAAGAATAGGAATCAACTTGAATTGTGGGTAAAAATAATAAAAACAAATAAATAAATAGTAAGACATTTAAAAAAAATCTTGGAGTGTACTCTTCTACTGTACATGCCATTACAGCAGCCCATCCATCCACAACCAGTACCTGCTTTAGATTAATGGTTAAAAAGATAAAGTGTCCAGAAAGAAGAATTGGCTTTACCCCCATCTTTTTGGTCATTGCAAAGCACCCGCATACACACCCATCCATCCATCCATCCATCCATCCGTCCATCCATCCATCCATGGCCACTCTGGGTGATTTGCTGTCTCTTCATAATCTTTTTTTTCAGCTTTCCTTCTATTCCATTTTAGATCGCTCCATCTTAGTTTTTAGGATTTCCTGTGATGTAGGAAGAAACACATAAGAAAACTTGGATGATGTTCAGGAACATTATAAACAGACTATAATAAAAATAATAAGAAGAGAGAATTTACCTCCTCTTCATCCAGCATCACAGGTAGAGCTCTGTGTGACACAACAGAAATTAGGTTAGGTATTATATGAATAATAACTACAACCCTAAAAAAAGTCACAATGTTTTACACAAATATAAATATAAGGAATGAATAAATATAAACTCATGGCTGTCAAGATGAATACTATGATTTGTTTGTCTTAGAGTTTCTAAAAAACAAGTCTATTATCAATGACTGCTTACACGTCAGCAACAGTTGTAGGAATGTTCTCCTCCACCCACTTCAGGTCTTCATCCTGGTGAAAAAAAGATTCAACATAATAATAATAATAATAATAAAAAACAAGCTACAATGATGTGGAAACATTGGTAAATAATCAAACACAGACAAACCTCTTTGCTCAATAATTTTTGGGAGCCATTCATTTCAGGTTTTGAACCTCTCATCTTCATCCCCTCTGAAAAGAAAGAAAAAATATACGAATGAATCATATGTCATAATTATTAGCTGGAAGATGTCACATGACTGTGACTGAAGGATATGTGTTGATGTGACAGTAACAGGAAGACCATTTTACTATATTTATCACTGCAGCTCTAAGGACACTCCATTTTACTATATTTATCACTGCAGCTTTAAGGACACTGACATTTTACAGCATTCCCCAGAACAGTCAGTCACTTCACCTATTATTCACCTTATTTAACTTTATTATTAACTTGATCTTTTTTATCATTATTAATGTCTTAGCTTACCAAATATTTTTTAATCGTTTTTTAAATATTTGATATATTATTATTATTATTATATTAAATCAATTTTGTTGTTTGGTGTCTCCCAGTGTGGACTTGATATGATTGTGATTTATCGTAACATTACTTATAATTAGTTTATAATTATAAAACATAAATATTTATTTTTTCCTCTTTGCGACATATTATCGACTCATTATAAAACATAAATATTTATTTTTTCGATTTTATTTTTGCGACATATTATCGACTGGTTATTTTCCACTACGATGATTGGTTGAAGCTGCCTCACCGCCACTGGACTGCATTGTGTCAGACATGAGTATAGAAGTAGAACTCACAGATGTCAGTAGCTTTTTGTGGTGAATACGACCAGCGTACTTTATTTTAATTTCTCATGATCTACCAGCAATCCTTTGCAATCTACTGTTGCTCTACGTGGTCATGCACAATTTGAAAGAATCCAACTAAAAGTTTTGTTTATTTTATCTTTTCATTTCTCTGGTTGTCATGGCGTGTGAATCAAACCAATCCAACATGTGTTTGTTTCCCAAACACCGTCTGACGCAAGTGTTTCTCCACAACGGTTTGCTGGTCCTGTAACGTTAGTCTGGACCAGTGGAAATCTCTCACCATAAGCCTCGTTCAGCATGGGCTCCTTGCTCTCGTCCTCTTCATCATCATCTTCGTCAATCAGAGGAGAATGAGAGAACCTGAGAGGAACAAAGAACTCAGAGTGAGGTCCAGCTGCAGGTCAACAGACATGAATCATCTTCAGATGAACTCTGACCTCTGGTTGTTAGCAGAGGGTCGCAGCAGCACCATAATGACCAGCAGGATGGTGGAGAACAGGAGACGCCAGAAGGCATCATCCACCCACAGGTTCCTCCAACCCTGCAGTGATAATGAACACAGAGAGGAGAGAGAATAAAGAGGCGAAAAGAAAATTCTCTTTTCATTGCTGTGGAACATGGAAAAACACACAGCAATCAAAGAGCCACAGAAAATAAACTGACCGTCTGGCAGTCCACCATCTTTAAGACTTTGGTGGTCCAGATGATGAATATAATGGAAGCTGTGGACACAGAGTAAACACAGGTCTGATGTTGATGTCTGTAAAGGCTACGCAAACGCTTGTATCCATGTGGAGCCTTAAGCAAAACAACCAAAAAGAAATGTTCAATCCCAGCTGAACATGAATGCAACTGCAAATGGTGCATGAAAAATCACTGAAGGGTGAATTTGTTTTTCAGGAAGGTTGACAAGTTTGGTGGAGGATTTTTCTTCCATACTGAGTCTAAAAAGAAGCTAATAATGTTCTGGCTGCAGCTTCAGAGCTTTTATCTAAATAACAACAAGTACACAAGTTATCCAAATGTTCCGCTAAACAAAACATCTGATGCTCAGATCTTAGTGCCGCTGCAGAAAAAAGTATTTAGAAATTATAACCACAACCACATGTATCTATTCACTGATC